AAATATTAATGAATATCAAACAGACTATAGTGATTCATTCAAGACATACTTCATTATAACTAGCCTGGAATTATACACAGGGTGCATTATGGTTCAACATTAAGGGGAAAAAAATAATCATATCAAAGACAAAAACATCCAAAATCACATGGTTATCCTAACTGATGCACAAAAAGCCTTTGACAAAGTACAAAATAAGCATCACATGCAATGACACACTCCTCTCTTTCCCAATAAATATGGGAGTGAAGCAAGGATGCCCATCCTCCCCACTATTATTTGACATGTTTCTGGAAATACTAGCAATAGCAAAAATAGGAAAAAAAGATGAGACAAAGAAATTACAGAGGTAAAGAAAGATAAAAGTTGAGAGAACTTTCCCTTTTTGCTAATTATATGATGGTTTACTAGAAAATCCTAAGGAATCAGTAAAAATACCATTTGAGACAATTAAGAGTTTCAGCAAAATTGTCAGCAGCAAAGAGAAAAAAACTCAAAGATCAACAGCATTTCAACATACTAAAAACAAAATCCGAGAAGAAATAATAGAAGGTGAAATTCCATTTTCATATCAACAAAATGTATCTAGAAGCTGATCTATCAAGACACGCAAAAGACTTGTACAGATTCAATTATAAAATGATCCTTAAAGAAATAGAGAACAACTTAAACAGCTATATTCATCACTGAGCCATGGTAATATAATAAAACTGAAAATACTACCAAAACTTACTTAAACTTTTAATGCTACAACAATCAAATTGTCAAAGGGATACTTTACAGAAATCAATAAAATAAGAAAATTCATTTGGAAAAATAACAGATCTAGCATATAAAGGGAAATTTTGACTGGAAACAGAGATGAAGGAAGAATAGCATTCCCAGATGTCAAACTACATTATAAAGCAGCAATCATCAACATAATTTGGCATTGATTGAAAAATAGAGAGGTAGATCAATGGAACAGACTAGATGAGGGGCAATCAGAAAAAAATGGCACTCAATAATTCAGCATTTCAATAAACCAGAAAACATAAGTGCCTCAGAAAAGAATTCCCTACTTGATAAAAACTGCTAATAAATGGAAAATAGTCTAGCAGAAATTTTAGACCAACACCTTAAACCACATTCCACAATATAATCTAAATGGATACATAGCCTTAATACCCAAAGATCATACTACAAAATAATTGGAAGATAAGCAGATCACAATTCTCTCACAGTTATGAGTAGACGTATTCTTTAACTAAACAAAGCATAGAGGCAGTTACAAAAGATAAAATAGGTAAATGATTACATGTAACTGAAAAGCTTTCTCATCTTTTTTATTTGTTTGTTTAAAAAGCCTGTTATATGGAATGGTTCTCTGGAGGGGGCAGAAAGGATACTGGGGAAACAATGATAATTAAAAAACAAAACATTAATAAACACTTGTTTTCTTATTTTTTAATAGCATGGTTTAACAGTGGGGTGTTAATACAAAGAATGCTAACCTTGAACTCACTGGCTCCAACACTTAGTAAATGTGTGACTTTAGATAGTTACATTCCCCCTTCTGAGGCCCAGTTTGTCCATCTATAAAATGGGGGTAATGCTAATAACACCTACCTCACCCATAGTAATAAAATTAAAACAGCTAGAGAAAGGAGATCTATTATAAATAGAGAGGCAGTGTTGCACAGTGAATACTGTGCTGGCCTTAGAGTTAGGAAGACCTGAGTCCAAAGTCTGCCTCTGACATTAGTAGCTAGATGACCCAGAGTAAATCACAGTTTCCTACCCTTACAATTTCTACATCTGTAAAATGGGGTAATACCCCCTGACACACAAAATTGTTGTGATTGTCAAATGAGATAACTTATAGAAAGTGCTTTGCAAACCTTAAAGAGCTAAATAAATGGGACTTAATACTCACATTTCTGCAAGTTCAAATAGGCTTTCTTTCTGCTTAGGTGAGACAGGTCCCTTAAGGAATTGCAACTTCTCCTGAATTTGGGTTGGCTCCTTTCCCCTTTTTGCTGTTTATATAGCACCTTATTTTTATAATTTTTTAAATTGCATTTATTTTTTATTTTGACATCATCTAAATTTTCCCCTCCTCCTCCCCCTCCTGGGAAACCTTGAAGCCAAGTAAAGTGAGCAGACCTGAACAATTTATATCATACCAACAACACTGTAAAGGCAAACAACTTGAAAGACTTAAGAATGCTGATAAATTATTCCAATGGACCCATGATGAAGGACGCCATCCCCCTCCCAACAGAGAGGGGGAGGACTGAATGAGACACGTTTTTGGATGTGGCCAATGGGGCAATTTGTTTTGATTATGCATATTTGTTGCAAGGAGCATATGTGTATGTGATATGATACGTGTCCAATGGAGGGGAAGAGGGAGAGCAAATAAAATGCCTATTAATTGAAAAAAAATTTTTTAAATAAATTTTTGTTTGGCTCTTTAAAAAAATCATCCCTGCCTATCTCTGTCTTTGTGTGTGTGTGTCTGTGTGTCTATCCCTGATTCTCTGTGTGCATATCTGTCAAGCCGTCTCCATATTTGTCTGTGTCTTTCTATCTCTGTGTCACTGTCTTTATGTGTGTCTGTCTTGCTGTGACTCTATGTCTCTGTGTGTCTCTGTCTTTCTCTCTCTTTCTCTGTCTATGTCTCTGTCTCTTGTCTCTTTCTGTCTCTCTCTATCTTCATCTCCCTGTCTCTCTGTCTCTCTTTCTCTGTCTCTCTCTGTCTCTCTGTCTCTCTCTGTCTCTCTGTCTCTTTCTGTCTCTCTCTATCTTTATCTCCCTGTCTCTCTGTCTCTGTCTCTGTCTCTCTGTCTCTCTGTCTCTCTGTCTCTTTCTGTCTCTCTCTATCTTTATCTCCCTGTCTCTCTGTCTCTTTCTGTCTCTCTCTATCTTTATCTCCCTGTCTCTCTGTCTCTCTCTCTCTGTCTCTCTGTCTCTCTCTGTCTCTCTGTCTCTCTCCCTCCCCTAGCAGTTTCACAAGTTTACCCATGAGGGCTAGACATTTTCAACCTGTGTGGAGAATAATTATCAGCCAATGAAATATGTGTGATTGCAGCAGGTTCCACACAAGGCATGAAGACCCTCCACCACTCTAGGATGCCGACTGCTCACTCAATCCTGGAATCTGTCTCAGACCCGTTTCCTCTCCCTCATCCTCCACAACCAATCCACTACCAAGTCTGGTCAATTGCACCTCACCATCTCTCAGATCCATCCCCCTGGTCTCCACTCGCTCATTCCTGCAGCCACCTGACCATCCCAGTTCATCCTCTTAGTACTTCTCATCCATCTGTGTGCAGCATCCTGCCCATTAGACTCCAGGCTTTCAGTTTCTCCTTTTTCCAATCCATCAGTCGATAGCAACAAGACTTCATTAAGTGCCTGATACATCTTGGGCTCTGTGCCAAGTGCTGGAGATAGACTGAAGTGAAATTGTCCTTGCCCTCAAGGAGCTTATGTACTCTCAGCAAGACAACACGTACTTGTATGAGGAATAGAGAACATTCACAAAATAAAGAGCTCAGGAAAGAAGCCACTGCTAGCTTCATGTAAAGGTGATACTGAGCTCAGCTCTGAAGGGAACAAGAAATTCTGAGAAGCAACGATCGGGAGAGAGAGTTTTCAGAGAAGGAGAGCCAGTGCAACACTCAGGAAACAGGAGATGGCATGTGGCACGCAAGGAAAAGCCAGGCTAGTTTGGCTGCACCATAGAGGAAGTCAAGAAGAATGTTGACATCCTCCCCACGGGTGACAAAAGAATCTTTCCCAGGCATAAGCCTGGCCAAGGCTCTCCCCTTCTCGAGAATCTTCAGTGGCCCCCTATTATCTCTAGTACGAAATTCAAATTTCTAGTTGCTGCTTAAAGCCTTTCATGATCTGCTTTATTGAGCTTTCCCCACAGACTCCCTTCCAGTGAGACTGACCTTAACTCCTTTTCCTCAAACTTAGCCTCCCATTTCCTACCTTTTCATCAGCTATACTGAATCTCCAGAATGGACTTCTTCCTCACCTCGACCTTGTATGATTCTCAGCTTCTTTCAGTGTCATTTTCTTCCTCTTTCAGGAAGCCCTTTGCCATTCCCTACAGTTATTACCACTCTCTCCTTCCTCCTTTGGTTATATACATACATATACACATACATATATATGCACACCTATATATACACATAAATATACATACATATATACACATACATACATACATACACACACATATATTATGTCTATGCAATTTGTCTATGCAACTGCTGTGTCTCCCAGGATACTGGAAGCTCCTAGAAGGCAGGGCTTATTCCATTTTTGCTTTAGTATCCCTAATGCTATTACAGAGTGGCTAGATAGCACAGTGAAAAACCATGGGCCTGGATCAGGAAGACCTGAGTTCAACTACAGCCTCTGACATTTACTAGCTGTGTGACCCTGGGCAAGTCACTTAATCCTTTTTGCCTTGGTTTCCTCAACTGTAAAATGAGCTGGAGAAGGAAGTAGCAAACCATTCCAGCATCTTTGTCAAGAAAACCCCAAATGGGGTCATGAAGAGTCAGATACAACTGAACATTTCATTTTTTGCATTAGTATCCCTAATATCTAACACAATTCCTTTCATAGAATAAACTTAGTAAATGTTTGTTGAATTGGCTTGCCTTAGCTTGGGTAAGACTAGAGTGGATTGTTTTGGGGTTAGATTGGAGTATAGTGTAATAGAGTGGAGTAGAGTAAATTTGAGTGGAGTGGGGTAGAGTGTATTAGAAGGGTGGGAAGCTGTAGGAAAAAGAGAACAGGTGTGGCCTTCTCTAGGTCTTCACTCTGATCTTATGTACTTGCTATCATTATTATCATAATTATTAGCTTTTTAGAAGGCAAATAAACATGGTTTAACTCAGTTTTGTGGGCCCTCTGGGCTACATGTTAATTAAAATCATTTCTCCTTGAGATGCAAACCCCTTGGTCACCAAGCAAATCATTAGTGAATATCTCATTACCTCTGAATACAAGCTTCGCTATTTCTCAAGTTTGCTTCAATTGAATCTGTCTGTTCTGGATGAATACTTCCATCTAACACCGGAAAGGACCAATTGCGCTTGGATTTTCTACTCTTTGAGCCGGAAGAAGTGGCGCCGTCAGCCATTCCCCTAAACTGTGTGGTACACAGCATCCAGGAGTTCTCCAGGACTGAGGTCTTATTTCGCCTCTGAGCCATCAGGTTACAGGTGTGATCTCTTGCTAGTCTTGGAAACAGATGGATATTCACATATAAGAAGGGCTTCTTCTGGAGAATACACATCCACATGATACCTGTGGGAAGTCACAGGAAATAACCCTTTAATATAGTACTTAATTGCTTACAATGATGGGAACCATACTCTTTGGCCCAGAGATCCTATCTCTTGGTGCAAACTCCAAGGAGGTCAGTGTCAAAAAGAAACTCCCAAGATATGCCAAAATACTGCAGTGGCAAAGAAAGGGAATCAATATCAGTGCCATTGACTGGGAAATGGCTGAACAAGTGATTTAAATGAATTTGATGGAATATTACTACTCTGGCTCTTTTTATAGTGGCAAAACACTTGAAATTAATGGATGGCATCAGTTTGAGAACTGACCAAACAAATTAAAAATGGAAGAGACACATGAACTTAGTGGAATACTATTGTGCCATTAGAGAAAAGTTCAGAGAGGCCTGAGAGGACTAGTATAAATTAATGCAAAATGATGTGAACAGAAGCAGAAGAATAATTTATACAAAAATGACATTGTAAATGGAAATGATTTTGAAAGACTTAGAACTCCGATCACCTACAATTCTGGGAAACTGTTAATGTTGCATGCTACTCATATCCTGACAGAGAAGTGATGAATTGAAGATATAGAATAAGACATGTATGTTTGGACACAGGCAATGTGAAATGTGGTTTGCTTATGTATATTTATTTTTATTTTGTTTTTCTCTTTTCCAATGGGAAGGGGAGGTGGGAAGGAGAGAAAATAAAGGCTTATTAATTGAAAAACATAAAACAAAACATTACTGTGTTGTAAGAAACTGAATATGATGAATACAAAGAAATCTGGGAAGACATATTAACTGATGCAAAGTGAAGTAAGAAGAACCAGGAAAATAATCTTTATAATAACTATGACAATGTTAATGGAAAAATAACAACACTAAATCAAGGCAAAATGCTTCAAGGTTTTAATAAACAAACTTGGCCTGAAAGAAAACATATGAAAAGGTACCTCCTTATCCCATAACCCTTTGCAGAGATGGGGAACTATGGATGTGAAATACTGAATATAAAGCGTCAGACCATTTTGCTAAGCTATTTTTTTTCCTTCTTCATTCTTTAAGAAAAGCATTGGCTTTCTGTCAAACAGAAGGGAGATGTAGGTAATATTTTAAACTATTAAGAAAAATTTATGAGTGGGCAGAGCCAAGATGGTAGAGTGAAAGCAGTGACTTGATTGAGCTCTTCCCCAAACCCCTCCAAATACCTATAGCAAATGGCTCTAAACAAATTCTAAAGCAGCAGAACCCACAAAAACACAGAGTGTAACAAATTTTCAGCCCAAGACAACTGGATAATTGATCAGAAAGGTATATCATGCCGGGCTGGGAGCAGAGCACAATGCAGGGCGTGGGGGCGCAGGCCACAGCAATCCGGTAGCAGGCTTTAAAGGACTGAATTGTGGGCAGCTGTCATGGTTTCCAGACTTCTCAACCCACGGATGCCACAGACAACTTAGAAGGTCAGTGAGAAAAGTCAGTTTCTGTGGTGCTGAGAAAGGAGCGTAGAGGTCTGACCTGGGGGCAGTGGTTGCCTCCTGAGCTTCTAGCCCACAGACTGAAGGGGAAACCAGTGGCTGATCAGAGAGGTATTGCAGGGATCTCTTTGCCAGTGCTGAGACAGGAATCTCTTGCTTTGCCCATGCTTGGATCTGGGTCACAGTTCTGGGCAGTGGTCCTGGGATGAGGAGGAGTGCTGTCATGGTGGAGCTTGTAGTGGCTATGAAGAGAAAACCCTCCTCACAGTTCCAGGACAGAAAGGAGTGCTTGTGGTCACTAATAGACCAGAGCACAGGCCAGGAGAGGAGTGAACACCTTGCTCTTTATCATACCACCTTGGAAGAATTATAAATGTACAGGTACACACAAGTATCTCTGAAAACAGCTGTACAAACCCCCAAAGCTTGGGACAGTACATTCTCCATATTGGAAGCCAACTCTCACCTTAACAAAGAGTTTAAAACTCAAGCAATTGGCCAGGATCATGAGCAAGCAGCGCAAAAAGAGTCAGACTATATTATCTTACTTTGGTAAAAAAGAAGATCAAAATATACAACCAGAAGAAGACAACAAAGCTCCTACATTCAAAGCCTCCAGGAAAAATATGACTCAGTCCCAGGCCTTGGAAGAGCTCAAAAGGGATTTTGAGAAGCAAGTAAGAGAAGTAGAGGAAAAACTGGGAAGAGAAATGAGAGTGATGCAAGAAAATCATGAAAAACAAGTCAACAACTTGCTAAAGGAGACCCAAAAAAATACTGAAGAAAATAACACCTTAAAAAATAGCCTAACCCAAAAGGCAAAAGAGGTCCAAAAAGCCAATAAGGAGAAGAATGCCCTAAAAAGAAAAATTGGCCAAATGGAAAAGGAAGTCCAAAAGATTACTGAAGAAAATGCTTCCTTAAAAATTAGAATAGAGCAATTGGAAGCTAGTGACTTTATGAGATATCAAGACACTGTAAAACAAATCCAAAAGAATGAAAAAATAGAAAACAATGTGAAATGTCATGGAAAAACAACTGGCTCTGCTCCCGAGAGCCAAGATGGAAGAGTGAAAAGGTAGAGGCTCTCACTCTCCCCTATCAACCTCTGAAAACCCAGAAAATATCACCCCAGAAAAAAACCCTGGAACAGCTGAACTAGAAGAAAACAGGGAGCAGCAGTGCAGCAGCCCAGCAAACAGGTCTCCCAGTGCATTAGCAGAAATGAGGGACACGACACTGCAGGGAGCCCAGGCAGGTAAACACCCTGCAGCACCCATCCAAAAGGAGCTGAAGAAAGCTGAAGGAAAAGAAAAGCAGGCAACCTAGAATTTCCAGAAAGTTCCAGCCTTGCTGATTCCGGCCCAACATGAGGTAAGCTGCCAGAAACCTACAGCCTCCAATTACTAACATAAGAGGCCCCAGCACACAAAGCCAGTGACCAAGACCTGGGCTCCCAACACAAAAAGCTTGGGTCAGTACCCTCTGTTCCCCAGCAGGAGAGCTCAATCTCTTTAAAGGCCAGGGAATAAAGAAACACCATGAGTAAAAAGAAACATACCATAGATTCATATTATGAGAAGAGTGAAGATCAAGACAGAAATTCTGAAGAGGACAACATTGTCAACAAACCCACATCTGCAACAACAAAAGGGAATATGAACTGGTCTGAAGCCCAAAAAGCCTTCTTAGAAGAGCTCAAGAAGGATTTTAATAGTCAAATGAGAGAGGTAGAAGAGTCTTTCAAAAATACAATTGGCCAATTGGGAAAAAAATACACTGAAGAAAACAAGTCCCTAAAAAACACAATTGGCCAATTGAAGAAGGAAGTACAAAAACTAACAGAAGAAAACAATCTGTTAAAAACTAGAATTGGACAAATGGAAACTAATGTCTCTATGAGAGAGCAAGAATCAGTCAAACAGAAACAAAAAATGAAAAAATAGATGAAAACGTAAAATACCTCATCAGTAAAACAACCGACCTGGAAAATCGATTCAGGAGAGACAATTTAAAAATTATTGGACTACCTGAAAATCATGATGAAAAAAAGAGCCTGGACAGTATCTTTCAGGAAATCATAAAGGAAAACTGCCCAGAAGTCCTAGAACCAGAAGGGAAAATAACCATAGAAAGAATCCACCAATCACCACCTGAAAGAGATCCCAAATGGACAATGCCAAGGAATATAATATGCAAAATTTCAAAATTACCAGATGAAAGAGACGGTGCTGCAAGAAGCCAGAAAGAAATAATTTAAATATCATGGAATCACAGTCAGGATTACACAGGACCTTGCAGCTTCTACATTAAAAGACCAGAGGGAGTGGAACATGATATTCCGTAAGGCAAAGGAGCTTGGATTGCAGCCAAGGATCAACTACCCAGCAAAAATGAGCATCATTTTTCAAGGGAGGAGATGGATATTCAATGAAATAGGGGACTTCCAAACTTTCCTGATAAAAAGACCAGCGCTCAACAAAAAAGTTGATCTTCAAGTACAGGACTCAAGACATAAAAAGGTAAATGAGACAGAAAGATACAATGTGTTGTGAATAAGGGGGTGCTGTTTAAACCCTTACAAGGGAATATGACAGTTGCAGCCCTTGAGAAGTGTATTGTTATTACACCACGTTAAAGGAGTATACATAAAAAGGGTGGATATTAGATGACTTTGATGTAATGACAAAAAAAAAACATCTAATCAGGTGGGTTAAATGGATCGAAATAAGTGGATCAGTATGATCTTAGAAATTGTACTGAGAAAGGAGGAGGCAGACAAGGGTAAATTACATTACAGGAAAAGACACAAAATCCTATTACAGCAGAGGGAAAGAAGGGAGGGGGAGCATTGTTTGAACCTTACTCTCATCAGATTTGGCTCAAGAAGGGCATAACATAATCAGTTAGGTATAGAAATCTAACTTGCCCTATAGGCAGGAGGAGGGAAAAGGGGAAAGAAAAGGGAGGGGGAGAAAGAAAAGGGAGGGGGGAAAGAAGAGAGGGAAGAAGCAGTAAGAGTAAAGGGGAAGAAAAGGGAAAGGGATAATAAAAGGGAGGAGTGACTGAAGGAGGCAGTGATCAAAAGCAAAACACTAGTGAAGGGGGAAAGGAAAAAGGAGAAAGAAAAGCACAAATGGGGGGGAGGATGGAGAAAAAGACACAGATAGTAAATATAACTGTGAATGTGAATGGGATGAACTCTCCCATAAAATGGAAACAGATTGCAGAATGGATTAAAAACCATAATCCTACAATATGTTGTTTACAGGAAACACATTTGAAAAAGAGTGACACATACAGGGTAAAGGTAAAAGGCTGGAGCAGAATATATTATGCTTCAGCTGAAGTAAAAAAAGCAGAGGTAGCAATCCTGATCTCAGACAAAGCAAAAGCAAAAATAGATCTAATCAAAAGAGATAAGGAAGGAAACTACATCCTGCTAAAAGGCACCATAGACAATGAAGTAATATCATTACTAAACATATATGCACCAAATGGTATAGCATCCAAATTCTTACAGGAGAAGTTCAGGG